GCTAACACTGATTGCAAATATGCCTTAGTTAGTAGTCCCTAAAAAATTAACAGTTTCCAAATACAGTAAACTTCCGATAATCCGGCACCTTTAGGACCCAGGGGGTGCCGGATTATCAGATATGCCGGACTATCAGAAGGGGGGGCTATGAGGAGTCTGGAGTGGGGTGGGGGGGATGGAGCGGGACCAACCCAGCAGCACCCCAACTGCTCTGCCCCGGGCTTCCTGGAGTCAGCCGCTGGTCAGTTTCAGCAGCAGCTGACTTGGGGACGCCCGGGGCAGAGCAGCTGGGAGTTCTAGGTTGGTCCCACAGTGCCACCCCTCAGCACTCCTGGACCAACCCGGCAGCACCCAAGCTGCTCTGCCCCGGGCATCCCTAAGTCAGCTGCTGCTGAAACTGACCAGCGGCTGACTCCGGAAAGCCCGGGGGCAGAGCAGCTCCAATTGTCTGGCTGCCTGGAGCACTTCCGGGTTCCAGGTGGTGCTGGACTAGCAGGTGTGCTGGACCACTGGATGCCAGACAACTGGAGTTTTACTGTAGTTATCACAAAGAGGTGTCACAGGTGTCACATTCCTTCAGAGATGCCCTGTGCCTGCTGATGGTGGAAGGGCAGAATTAGGGCATCCAGTTTCAGCAGTGTTACTGAGCATGCTTTGTTCAACCCAACCAGAAAATCAGAGGAGGGGACACATAATCTCTAATGCTGTCCAGCTTCACATGTATCACCTCTCCTACCTTTGTCCTTTTCAGTCTCAGCATCTAGATAGGGGTTGACTTTTTAATAGTAACATCTATGTATTCATTTGCTTGTTTTTGTTTTGGTAGGGTGGAAGTTATCTAGCTGTAGATAGTGGTGTTCTTTCACTTTACAGTAATTTATAAAAATATTTTAATAATCTTTGGTGTTGTCTATGGTTATGTAGATCTAACCGCTACAAACAGTGCTTAAAGTGGTCTGTGAAAGGTGGTGATTGTGGGTATTTATCCTAATTTAAAATTTGCAGGTTTGTTAAGACAGTGTTTAAGATGAGCCCCTCAGCAAACCAGCTATTTATGAATGTATTTATTTTTTCTTGAGTCTCTGATCTTGTGCAACATGAACCTCTCTAGTTTAAGTACTGCATGTATGATTAAATGGAAAGTATACAGATCTTTTTAGGTCAATTTTAGATTTACTACTAAATTCTGCCCTGGAATGTACATATGGAATTTCCTTTACTTTGCAACACAAACTCATTTTTTAAAATAATGTTACCTGATTTAAGGAGTTATGAATTTCAATATTATTTCTGACAGTGTTTTCTTAGTATTTCTTAGCTTGCTTTTATTGTGTGTGTTTGGTTTTTATTTATAACAGTACTATACAAAATATCTTCCCCTTCACTGTACAATTCAGGTCTTTAGCACCACGAGGCCATTTTTTCTCAATAAAATCATTGATTCACTCATTATGAGACAATTCATTCTCTCTCTCTCTCTCTCTCTCTCTCTCAAATTAAGTCATTTGGATTCAATATGTTGCCAAGGGGATAGTTATAATAATGTATAAATTCACAGTGAAGTCAGTGGTGTTATGCCAAATACAAACGCTGCATTGAAAAAAAAATTGTTAGATAATTCCATTGACCTCATATTTCATTTATGGGTAAGTTGAGACTGCAAATAGCAACAGTGCTTATAATAGATAACATGATAGGTGAAATAATTTGATAGTTGTAAATTTTAATGTAAAAAGCTGCAAAAGGCACAAGTCCACAAAAAGGTTCTGAATAATTTTGTTCTGCTTTCAAAACTTTTTGTAACTAGTGTAAGACAGGGATTTGCAAAAGTGAGAGAAAATATTTCAAATGTATTTGAAACTCTTCTGGAAACTGGACAAACATGTAGGAGTTAGAGGGGAGCTCATAAAAGGATAATGGACAAGTGTTGCTAGAGACAGTTGTATGATCAGCCCATTTGATGGTGGGTGGTTGCTTTGTGTCAGTGTCCCCATCACATCTGTTTATAAATTGTATTCTCCCTTTATGACCTGAAAAGAACTGGCCCTTCTGTCAGGCAAGCTGCTGCACTAAAAATGAGCATTAGCTCTTCTGGACTTACTGGGAAATGCCTTTGCTTTCTTACACCTTTTACTTGATGATGGGCCAAATTCTATTTTGTGATACAGGTGTCATGTTTCCTCCAATTCCAGTGGGAGTCAAGGAGACATGTATATGTGTAAGATGGGACCCAGCATTTCAGTTTCTTTTATATTTCTGGACAGAATATAAGGTCATATTTTACCTTTCATTCCCATATAGCATAGGATAGTGTTAAATAGCTGTTTCCACAACATATTAAGTTTGACATGTCATTTTGGTAGTTTCTTTTAAATATAACTAAGTAATCTGTTTTGTTGATTCCCAAAAGGATGGCAGAGCACTTTCAGCCAAGAAAAAGGTGGACTTTACTTGCTGAAAAACATTTTCTTGTTCTTAACCAGAAGATTTAACATCTTTTTTGTGACTATTTTATGGCAATTACATTTTCTAGGTGTTTATTGGCACTTAAACCTTGTGGTCTTATCATTTTACCAATCCTGCAGTTGAATCTGGGAGAAACTCTTGAATCTCTGCAGGTCTCAGACTCACTTCAGTGAGCTTTATGCATCCATAAATAAGAGTTTCAAGTACAAATCCAATTTTAGGATGAGGGCCTTAATTGCATTCTATATATTATAGTTTTCTGATCTTTGCCCTTTGGTTTCTCTCTTTTTTTCTTTTGTACTTGGCCGTCTGCTTTGTGAAATTATTTTGTTTTTCATTAAATGCCAAAATTTTCAGATGTTGGTATGAAACACAACTAGGAAGAATTTCCTTGTCTTGTAGATTTTACATTTCAGATGAAGTTTTCTTCAGGAAAACAGGTTATGTCAAGACTTCAGGGTTTTTCTGGGATACCAGAAAAATGCAACAAATGAAAATGAAAACCAGAGGTATCCCAGAAAAACTCCTCTGCATCCAGGGAACGCATCTACTCCTCTGCTTTTTTTTGCTGAGGAGCAGACGCGCTCTTTCGGAAGCCCTGTCTTTCTCCTCCTATGACGAAGAAGGGTTCTTCCGAAAGAGGGTTTTTCCGAAATTTGGTCCAGTGTAGATGGGCCAAATTTTGGAAAAGTCTTTAAAAAAAAACTATCAGAAAAAGGTATGAAAATTGCGGAGTGCAATTTGCATACCTTTTCCTGATAAAGCCCCGTAGTGTAGACATAGCTAGAAATATTGGGAGACTCAGAGGAGGGACTTCCTTTAGAGTTAATTTTAAAACAATTTTTTGTAGTCTAATTATTTTCATTTGTTGCATTTGCAGACTTCTCAGAAAGAAAGACCCTTGAATTATTGGGAGGGACTAGTTTTTCCATGTAGAGTATCTTAAAGTAATTCAGAGGTGACTCCATATTTAGTGCTGAGGAGCTTCTGGCAATTATACTTGGGTACACACTGCTTTTTAAACACCCTTTTATTTATTTTAGTTTTCTTAATCTTCCTTAATATCTTCATTAAAATATGCTGAATGTAAACTGGATTTAAATTAATTGCTTCTGCATGCCCAAGTTCTATTTCCTGAAAGGCAAATCTTTCTCTCTTTACTCACTCCAATAATCCCATCAAAATAAGTATGAAATACAATTTATGAGATGAACATAGAAGAAAATGGGATTCTATTTCCATTAGATACACTAATTATTTTAGTCAAGAAAAATGTGCGTGAGAAGGAAATTACATATGCAAGTTATCAGTGAAGAACTTGTTCTGAATGAATTACACAAAGTGTTTAAGAAGTTAATCCTTTTGTTCAGATTATTTTTTAATGTTCCCAAGGTCAATGAGAAAGATAACAAACCTCTATAATCAGTAACTTTTATGATTCCATTCTGTGTTTTCATGTCTCCCTCTTGACTGCATCTTAATTTTGGGCTTGATCCTGCAAATACTCACATACCCCTGGCCTGGTCTACACTGAAGGGGAAAGTCAACTCAAAATAAGCAACTCCAGCTATGTTAAGTACGTACCTGGAGTTGAAGTATCTTAAATTGTGTTTTTACGCTGTCCACACAGCAGGAGGTCGACGGGAGCAAACACTCCCATCAACATTCCTTACTAATCATGAGGAGCAGCACTACTGGTGTCACTGGGACCCCTCTCAGTTTGAATTAATAGGTCTTCACTAGACCCACTAATTTGAACCCCACAAGATTGACTGTGGCACCATCAATCTTCCATGTAGTGTAGACGTGTCCCCTAAGAATAGTCTGACTGTCTTTTGAATTGAAGCACGAGGATTAAAAGTCAGCACTAGTCTGATTCATAAATCTTCTTCTTCTTCTTAAATCTAGGATATTTATTTCCATAATATCTGATAGAAGGGTATCTGATTATTTACTGCTCTGACACATCTGGCTCTGTCACTGGAAAGGGTATACATTTAGGTGCATGAAAGAACATTATATGACAATAACCATCTTTGAATAGGGAGCAGCTTGTGAAGCTGCATACTTTAGAAGGCTCCTAGGACTTCTAAAGGACTTCTGCAATGGAGGAAACATTGGGCTGAATTGTGACAGCACAATGGGGGGAAATAAACAACATATCCATTAAGTGAAAATAAAGTAGTCAATGCAAACTACTGTACAATCAAATGACAACAGATAACTCTAAATGGAAAAAAATCTCAGTGAGTCCTAGAAATCCTTTTTTGCTTCCTATCGAGGGGAAGTGTTTTGCTTTGTCTATGTATTTTACTCTTGTAGTCCTCTTTTAGAGATGTGTAACACTATCTTAATTCTGTTTTTTTTTTTAGGGAAATGTGAAACAGAACTGTAGATCTTTCAGCTGTGAATCTAAATATTAATTAAACATCATGTTTTCTAGGACTATTACTATAATTATATGCAAAACTCCTGATTTTGATTCTTTATTTATGTTGTTAATAAAGATAACAAACCATACATATTATTTTCAGGTTTGAGAATTAATAAAAGTACCACCACATCACGGACTGGTGCTCCTGCCAATTTACATGTACCAGATGTAATCCAGTTGAAAGACATTGTTTGCTATTTGTCTCTGCTTGAAAGAGGAAGACCAGAAGACAAACTAGAATGTATGTATTTTTTTTTAATCTGAGGAAAAAGCTGATAAAATGGGGAATTAAAGTAACAGAAGCCCCTAATTTGCTAATACATCCATCTGTTTCTAATGTTAGTAACAGCCATTAGTTTATTTTCACATTGCATACAGCTCAGGTTTGCAATCTTGAGGAAATTCTGAAATGGAAGTTTCTGACTCTAAATTTAAGATTGAATGAGGTGTAGTTTCATCTTACAATGTGACACTCTAGAAGTGTCACAGTAGAGTTCTGCATTCTCATGTCTACAGGCCTGGCCTTTGGGCAAGGTGAGTGAGGCGGTCGTCTTGTGCCCCATGCATTCAGGGCCCCGCGCTGCCTACCTCCCAGCCGAGAGCTGCACAGCTGTGCGGCTCAGCGTTCTGCTTTGGGCCCCGCACACTTTTTGGCTTGGCCTGCATGTCTAGATGATTTCCATACCAAGTTGGCTCAGTTAATTAAAAGTTTTCCAACTTTCAGCCTCAATAATTGACCCTAGGGAGTTTCAGACAAGCTGGATTCTTTCCATCTTGCACATCTTTGCTAGTAGCATAGGCTCTGCAGTCCAAATTATCTACTCACAGATCCCTTGGAAAATCCATGTAAGGGTAACAATGCCTAGAGGAGGCTTAAGTTTGAGGTGATAACACAATCTGTAGACAAAAAGGCTTGCAGATATAGTTGAGATGTTAATATCATTCATAGATCCTATGTTGCTAGCTGTTATCAGCAAGATGGAAAGATCCCAGTTGTATGTCTAAGTGAGTCTGTAGAGCTAGCAGTTAGAAAATGTCTTTGCTTACAAATAAAGGATCCAGTTCAGAAAAGCAGTGATATATGTGTTTTAAGACATGTGCTTAAGCACATTTCCAGGGCAGAAATACTTTGCTCAATTAGTACCTGAGAAGTTTATTATGGAAATCAATGAAACACAAAGTATATAGAACCCCACATTATCATTTCTACTGCCAGTGTTTGGATTAGACTAGCACTTAGACTGTATCTGCACTTGGAGCTGGAGCTGAGATTTCCAGTTCATATGGAGATACTCACATTAGCTCTCATTGAACTAACATGCTAAAAATATTAAGGTAGATGTGATAGGCTGGGCATCATTTAACTGACCATAGTTTGAGAGCAATGAAAGTATGTCTACTCAAGCTGGGAATCACTCCCCAAGCATAGACTAATGTTCCTGTTATCCTTACTGAGGCAAAAATCATATTGATTTTGAAGGGAGCTTTGTCTCTAAGAAAGGCAGGATCAGACCCTGATATTGTTCTAAAGGTAAATATAGACAATAGGCTCTACCTGCTGGAAGTTTATATTCTTTGCAAGTTTTAATGACCATGTTTGTTCATGTTGTTGTAGCTTATAACTACAGAAACAAAGGTCTTAGAGTTAGTGGGAGTTTTGCCTGTGTAATGACTGCCCAAAATTTGCCTATATCATAGCAATGCTACTAAATTCCAAGATTAATGATGTATTGGATGCTCCTCTGAAATTCAAAACAAAATCTGAAGATTATATGTTGACCCCATGAATAGGAAAATCTAAGTTTCTAGGTCTTAATGCAGCAAAAAATATATTGAGCTTAACTAAGTGGCAGACTGTGTAGGCCATTCCAGAATCCTAATGCTCAGATCATCACCTTCAGAGCCACATACAGAAGGGGGGAACATCCTGATCTCAGGGATCTGCATTATGGGAGAAGGTAGTGACTGGGATACCAGACAAGACCCCAGGCAAGAATGCACATTTCCTCCCTGCACCCTTCTCCGCCCCCCCCCCCCACTCCCCTGCCCATGGTCTTGCAGAGGTTCTTCCGGAAAGATGTCACATCTGGGACTGTATTTATCTTTTCTATGCAGTCTCCTTCCCAGAAGTTGCATTGCCAGGCAATTCCCTGGAGGAAGAGGTCAATGGAGCCCAGCTGCCAGAGAAGTGGGGGTTTGTCAGGGTCCAGAGTAGTGGCAGAGGCACAAGACCCCTGTCCTGATGGTGCTGGCCTCTCATTAGTCCCATTATCTGCAACTTTTCAGAATGGTCCCCTTGGCCTATTTTTGAGATAAATCTCAACCTAACTGAACAATGTCAAGGACAGTTTGTGAGAGGATTTCTGTGGAAATGTCATGCCCTGGGACATACTCTACCACAGAATGTACACCAATAATTTCAATCACATGCTTCCACTATCAATTCAATTTTGAAGGGGTTTGATTGTGATAACTTAATTTTGGGTGGAGAGAAGTGTATAATCATAATGAACATCAATTGACGTGTCCTGCAAAATATAATCACGTGCTATAATGCTCTAAGAAGTGCTTTGATAAAGCATTATCTCCGAGTGCAAGAGCACAAAGAGTTTTAAAAACAGATCCATATGCATTGTATATTAAAAATTATTTGGAGTTTTATCCTCATGCACATCACAGATTATATAAAACATCTGAAAAAACTATTCTAATGTTGACAACTGTTTTTGCTTCTTTGAAATGATGTTTTTTGGTTATCAATATTTTCTTTGCTATTTTATTTTACTACGAATACTAGTGCATAAGATACCTCAGTTAAGAAATTTGTGGTAATTAATAGCATTTGAAAAGGACCGTGTACAGAATTCAAGTTTTTTTAATGTACAAAAAACCCAAACCCTGTAAATAAGTAGTTTACATATGCTTTACATGGCCTTTGGAAATTAAAACAAGTTGCATGAGATAAGCATATAAAGCTAACACTGAGATTATGTATTTTTGATTATCACCTTCAGTGAAGGAAAAAATTGTTCAGTTACAGTATATTTCAACATGTAAGTTAATGATACTTAGTAAATGAGGCCCTGATCTTAAAAACATTTAAGTACCTGAGTAACTTTGCATGTAAATAGTCCTTGTTTGTGTTTAACAGGATTTGTAGCAAGAATAAGTGTTTGCAGAATCAGGAACCAAGAACTGTTCTTATTAAAGTGGAAAAAACCCCACCTTGATTCTCCTATCCTCTTCAGTGTCAGGAGAGTTGTATCAAAACTGCATGCTGTTGAAATCAGGCCCCAGACACACAAAGGAGGGGTATATGCAAAGCCCATTATGCTTTCAGACAAAATTTGAAATAAAATAGAGACCCACTAAGGCAGAGAGATAAATGAATGATATATAGACTAATAAATATTTTACTAAATAGCAAATAATTTGTTATAAAGTCCAATATGTCAATCCAAAATTGTGTGATTGATCAGAGAGGAATATAATATTGATTGAAGAATTGAAGCTCTGCAGATTCATATAGAATATGATAGTATTAATCAGTTTAATTCTGTTCAGTGGATACTTAAATACTAATCTCAGGACCTAAGGAGGATTTAAGTTATGCAGGGCCTGATTTAAAAATTTCTGACATTGTTGGTAGTTTGCTATGTATTATAGCCATTTGTTGATGCTTGTCTATCACTAGCTATCTTTGTCTTGTACAGAAGTGCATATATTCATGACTTAGTAGTGCATTTTATTCTAGTATCGTGTGTTCAGCATTGCTGTGTAAAACTCCCCTAGCTGATGGCACCGCTAAAGTTGACAGGACTTGATATGAAATTCACTTGGGGGGGGGGGGGGGGAAAGATGATGAGACAATTTTCTTTTCTTGACCTGAGAACTTTTAAGGAGAGAGATTTTTCTTTATTTTAAACATTAGATGAGCCTCTTTCCATTTGGGATATTATTATGAAAAGTAAATCCTCAAAAATAGTTCAAGAGGCTGTTCAAGGGGTAACACACTAAAGACAGACACCTTTGTGCATAGGCACTGTACCTTTTAAGAGGTATATCATATGCAGTGTCTTTACACTCCTGCTAATAAATATTCCATTAGTTACAGGAAAGAATATGTGAGATGATGTCCTTATGATACTTATATTTACAATGAGCCAAACACTGTACATTGAGCACTACCTTTGGGAAAGAATGGAATTGCCCTTGAGGACCAATTCAGGATATCAATTTAGTGCATGTATAAATTAATTCTGTTTTCTGTAGTAGAACTAGCTACTTGCATACTTAAAATTAAGCATGTTGAACAGGAATGAGCTCTTGTATTGGGCCCAGCTATGCATACAAAATTTTATACAGTAAAACGGGTGGAATTCTCTAAGGCTATGTCTAGAGTGCACTTTTGTTGGATACATTTTTGCTGGTTAGGGGTATGAAGAAAACACCCTTGTGGCTGACAAGTTGTATAGGCAAAAAGTATTAGTGTGATCAGCACTTTGTCAGTGGGAGACACTTTCCTGCTGCAATAGCTACCACTGCTCATTAGGGATTCTTTTATTTTGTCAGCGGGAGAGTTCTTACCTGGCAACAGAGTGGCTACATTGCATACCTTACAGCAGCACTGCTGTAGTGGCACTGTGTTGCTGTAAGTTGTATAGTGTAAACATAGCCTAAGAAAGCATTGCAATTTATTTCAAAAGAAGCAGGGTTGCACACAATAGCTTTATTATATAAAGGGCCCTACAGAATTCAGGGTCCATCTTTGTAAATTTCACTGTCATAGCATTGTAAAAATCTTGAATTTCATGGTTTCAGATATTTAAATCTTAAATGTAATGGTACTTTAAGAATCATGAATATATATTTTTAAAACAGCAAAATATAAACATGTAAAGTCCTTAAAACTCAGCATTTCTCAAATTGAGTGTCCCAACCAAAAAGGGGAGCTACAAAACTATTGTGAGGTGTGAGGCTGCATTATTGCCTCCCTTACTGATTAGCTGTCTTTAGAGCTGGATGGCTGCAGAGATGCAGTGGCTGGCCAGGTACCTAGCTCTGAAGGCTGCACTCCCAATAGATGCAATAAAGAGATAAGGGAGGGATGGTATAGTGGTGGTGCTGCTGCCTTCAGAGCTGGGTGTATGGCCAGCTACCGCTACTCAGCAGACACCCGGCTCTGAAGGATAGGGTAAAGTACACAAGACCAGATTTCACAATCTGTGATACATTTTTCACATGAATTTGGTAGGGCCCAAATTATATATTAGTATTGTGAACTTAATGAAACCAGGAAAAATTTTACTTTGCAGATATGGAAATGATATTTACTGTTGCATTCAACTGAGCTGAAATCTAATACATACATTTTCCACTAGTACAATTAGCTAATCAGTAAGAATTTGTAGAGCAGTTACCACTGTTGTGGATTAAAAAACACAGTGAAAATGCAAGAGCAAGCCAGTAAAATTCTCTACATAGGATCTTATTTTATATAGAATTCCAGTTTCCAGTCAGATGTTAATTGTCTGTCTTGCTCTGGAATTAAAGGAAAATGATGTACGTCTTTATATTTTCCCCCTAATTTAATTGTCCTCTTTTTTTTTTTTTTTTTTAGTTATGTTTCGTTTGTATGACACAGATGGCAATGGGTTCTTGGACAGTTCGGTAATTTTATTTATATTGACATATTGTAATAGCATGAAGTGCATCAGTGTATTTGTATGAATTCATGCGGAACACACACTTTGGATAAACAGAAGTAATAACTGTAAACAATAAAACATCCTGGATGACAAATATTTTTGAGACTATTCCTAACAATTCGTCCTTCCACTGAGCATATCCACTTCCTCCTCACTTTTAGAGATGGTCAGGCATTGAATCTCCCACTGTAAAATCATTTCTCTATTTTTTTAGTTGTAACATTTTACTTCAGGAAGCAATTTAACTCACTCCCAAAACTCTTTTTTACTTCCCTGGGAGCTGTACATGGAAGAGTTATTTGTATGGTTGCACTGAGAAGGAAGAAAGATGCAGCTCAAGTTTCTGGGAGAAGGTAACAGTAGGAGATGAAGGGGGGAAATTCAGCATGTTCAGAGAGGTCAGGAATAAAGACTACATTGTTTAGGTAGAAGTTTAGAAGTAGCACCTGATTATACAATTAAGAGAAAATCAAAGAAAGTAATTATAGAAGGGTTCAAGAAGTATGTAGCTTGTGGGCAAAGAAGCACTAGGCATAAATAGATTAATCAATTGCTTAGAGCCTTGAGCAGCTTAAGGGACCCACAGTTTATTTTTTATTGCCCGTGTCATTTGTCATTAAAATGTTTTTGTTCTTTCTCTTTTTTTTCCTGCCTAGGAATTAGAAAATATCATCACTCAAATGATGCATGTTGCAGAATATCTTGAATGGGATGTCACTGAACTCAGTCCAGTAAGCATCTAGACAGGTCATTGATGCAATTAATTCTGGAAATTGTTGTGTAATGTCCCATGAATACCAGTGATACTAATACATGTATTGAGTAGTAAAAATAGTTCCTATTTCTTTGAGGTTGCCATTCAGTCCTTTGCTATTCAGTCCTTGTTACAGGGAGGACAGCATAGCACTAATGGTCATAAGCATGAAATATATGTCCACCACTAAAGTTTAAGGCTTTCTCCCTGTAGCATGTAATTCATTTTCTTAATGGGCTTTGCATATACCTAGCCCAAATCCCATGAGAGACAGAACCTATCATCTATGTACAACATACCTAGTACTATGGGTCCCAAACTGCAGACTCTACCCAGACCAATTGATGTGCAGCTTTTTAATGCCCTTTAGACATCCCCATGACTTACTCAGTAGTCTGCTCCTTGTAGGTAAGCCCTCACATGCAAACCATTTCTGGCCAATTGGCAAAGTCTTATTGGTGCCTATTGGTCAAAAGCTAAAGCCAGATGTCATAACAACAGAAGTTAAGTGAAGTAAGGCCTTGTGCTTCCCTTGACTCAGGATGAATTTCCCTAAATATTATTCTTCCATAGAATTCCAGGAATCTGTAATGACACAAGGATGACAATATAAAACTACGAGCAGATGTATTTAAGGTAGTGACCCTCTCGCCGTATCTGATCACCGGAGAGTGTGAGATATTAGATTAAGGTGGCGCGTTAAATGAAAACTTAAGACTTGGTTTTAAACTGACTATATTGACTATATTGTTACAAAAATAAACCTAACAAAACAATACCTCAAAATAACTCAAGGGGGCTGTCCTCTCTTACACTAAATGGACCAGGAGGGGAAGTCCCTCAAGGTCCCTATACCTACTACAGAGTCTACGACACAGGGTGATTAATGGACGCTGGCGACCTACGACCTTAGGGCTAATTGGAAGCCTTTGGGGAGGACCTGCCAGGTGTCCCTCATCAGCTGATCCAGTGCTTGCCACAGGAAAGGAACAGCCAAAGTGATCCCTCGAAGCAGGAGTTGAGATCGAAGACGGTCGATTCGCCTTCCGCAGAATTTCTGGTCCTCGACACCTCTTCTCGTGCTTCGGTGTGACTGGATCAGGCGATGGACGACTCTGGATCCTATTTATCCTAAACCTAACCTAAAAATAAAACCTTAAACTAATCCCGATGCGCCCGACGTACAGACATGACGACGGCTGGCATGCGTGGACCGATGCAGCCTGACGTACAGACTCGTTGACGGGAACTAATCTAACTAAAATACTAAGCTAACTAGCCTAATTACCTAACCTAAGTGAGTAGATCTTACCTTCCGTCAGATCTAACCCTAGAAATAGCTAAATTAACATTTAAAAGAGTGAAGCATGGCCTTGCGCCAGCTTCCCTTAAAAGAATCTCTTTACAAAACCTCTCTCATTCTACCAGACCTAGGACAAGACTTGAAGGATCTCTCTCTCTCTCTCTCTCTCTCTCTCTCTCTCTCTCTCTCTTAACCTATCCCTAAGCTCGACGCCCAGACGCAACCAGTAACTGCTGCGTGGCAGAAGCTTTTATAGTTTTGGTTCATACATATTCATGAACCCTAAGGTTTAAAATGATTGGACACTAAAGGATGCTCTTACGGTGTGTTTTAAACTGATTGGTAGAACAGGATGCTTGTGAATATTCATAGATTATGCAAATTCCAACAGGTAGGTGAGTTGCTATTTTCAAACTCTAACAGCTACCTGTGAACGTGATAGAATGCATAACTCAAATGGATGCTACCAGAAAGAGTTCTAAATTCAAAATGGAGTTTCAGACTCCATTTTGAGACATTGCCAAACTTGCATATTTTTAAGTTTACAAACATTTCAATAATCGAATTGACATGACATATGTATACAAGGATAACCTCCATCCTTTAGCACTTATACAGATGTTTACAGGGTGCCAAACTTTGCATATTTTTAAGTTTACAAACATTTCAAGAATTGAATTGACATTGACATATGTATACAAGGATAACCTCCGTCCTTTAGCACTTATACAAAGTGGGGGCTATCCTGTTTATTGCGTCGAGTGTAACATGTATGATTACCTGCCCTGTGGGCGGGTGGCGTATGTGTGCACCCGTTGCAAGGAGCTCCTGACCCTCAGAGACCGAGTTCGGGCTTTGGAGGACAGGGTGGCTGAACTGGAGGAGCTAAGGGAGTTAGAGAGCTATGTTGATGAGACTTTCCGGGACACTGTAGTACTGTCCCACCTCCAGTCTGAGAGCCCCAGTGTTCTTAAGGAGGATGAAAGTCTCAAGGGAACAGAGCATTTAACGGGAGCAGAGGGAAACCATCCCGTAGTTGGGACCCTCCTCCCAGAGGATGTTGTGGTATCCTCTTGCACTGAGGATACCTCTGATGGGGAGGGAATGCCAGCTAGGAAGAGGCAGGTGTTAGTAGTGGGTGATTCGATCATTAGAAACATAGATAGTTGGGTTTGTGATGACCGGGAGAACCGTATGGTCACTTGCCTGCCTGGTGCGAAGGTTGCGGATCTCTCGAGGCATCTAGATAGACTTATGTGTAGTGCTGGGGAGGAGCCGGTGGTCGTGGTACATGTAGGTAC